AATAATAATAATAATAATAATAATAATAATAATAATAATAATAAACAAGACAAACGTCCACTATTAGCATTCCTGTTAAATAAAATACTCTAAACATTGGCCAGAGTAATCCAGCAAGAGAAAGAAATAAAAGGCACATGTAGGGCCATGGATTTAGCTCACTGGTTCAGCTGCCTGCCTCGCAAGTGCAAGGTCCTGAGTTCAATTCCCTGTACCAAAAAAAAAAGGCATATGAAAGGAAGAAGTCAAATTTTCATTATTTGCAAATGACATGATCATTTATATAGAAGTTCCAGAAAGATCCCACCAAAAGACTCCTAGAATTAATAATCAAATTCAGTAGCATAGCAGAATACAAAACCAGCACACAAAAATAAATAGCATTCTTGCACACCAACAATGAGCTCACCAAGATAGAGGTTAGGAAAACAATACCATTCACAATAATGTCAAGAAAAAAATAAATACCTGGGAACTAACCTAACCAAGATAATGAAACACCACTACAATAAAAACTACAGAACTCTGAAAAAGGAGATCAAAGAGGACATCCAAAAATGGAAAGATATTACCTAATCCTGGATAGGAACAAATACTGTTAAAACAAACATACTTCTAAGACTGAAATACCAATTAAATGCAATCCCAACTAAAATACCAACAGCATACCTCACAGAACTAGAGACAAACAGTCCTAAAAGTCATATGGAACCAGAAGAGACCCAGAATAACAAAAGGAATCCTGGGTAACAACAGCAAAGCAGGAAGTATCACAATCTCAAACCTGATGTTTTGGTACCAGGGATCGAACTCGGGACCTTGCACTTGCAAAGCAGGTGGTGGTACCACTGAGCTAAATCCCCAGCCTGGATACACTTATTTTGGATGTGTACATTGGCAGGTCCTTCAGAGGGTAGTGGTGGGATTGGGGTGAAAATTGATAAGAAAAGAAATTGGTCAGCCAGTTCCTGCAGAATGCCTTCAACACAAATTGCTTTGCTACTTCCTTTACATATCTTCAGCCAGCATATGGCAAAAATATCAGTTTGCTTTCTAGTCCCTTCATAATTAAGATCATCTCGTATGCAGCCATTATTCTGTCAGAATTTTTCTATAGGATGACTTGATTTCCTTTTCTTTTGTCTACTCTTTTTTCCTGTATTTACATCTCATTGATCTTCAGGAATAATGCCTCACTCAGCTCCATTCCATCTGCTAGTATTAGGAGTTCTGTTAATTAACCTGAAACTCATCCCAAATGCCTCACTGTTGCACAATATGCCCATTACCTACTTAGTGGCTTTAACTTTCTCCTTTGTACAAAGGGGGTCATTATAACTGTCCTGTTCATTAATGTCCTTTGAAAAAAAATCACACTAGATCCCTGGAATATGTGGACTTAATGTCCACAGTTATGTATTTACACATAATACTGGAAATCCTTGACATACATGATACCTTGTCATTTTAATTTTGAGAATGTAACCTGAGAAAGTCATTCAGTTGGTGCCTGACCTCTTGGATTGTTCACTAACCGCATTTTGGGTGATCTTTGCAGTTCCTTTCTCATCAGTAAAAATTCAGAGTGATCATAAAAATTTTGTTACTTTATTGAGCACCACACACACACACACACACACACGCACACACACACACAAAATTTCAAAACCATATTGATATATCCTCCAAAAGTTTCTTTCAAAATTGATAGAATAATAAGGAATTTCTACAGCAAAAAACACATTAAGAAATTCATGACCACCACACCAGCACTCCAAAATATTCAAGGGTATCCTAGAAAGATAATGAAGATTACAATAACAGAAAGTCTAAATAGCTATGGTGAACAGTTAAACAGATGGGGGGAAAATGAAATGAGTAACAATAATGCAATGACAGGAACAAACCAATACTTTTCAGTAATAATTCTCAATATGGGGCTGGGGTTTAGCTCAGTGGTACTGC